GGGACCTGCGGTCAGCAGCCGAGTACCTTAGCCACTAGACCACTGCGGCGGGGCCCATAAAAATGTCTCAGTTATTTAGCATTCACAACAGTAATTAGAGCTTGGGCTTTAAAGAAAGACAAAGTACACGACTAAGCATGTGAAGATACGTTAGCGGACCTTAGAGTCGCTGAAAAGTAAGGTTTGTCTTTTGAAACGTAGGACAACTATTGAAAACATCTATTGAAACATGAGATAACTTATATGCACAATTTCTTCAGTAAATTTATCGGTGTATGTGAATCTAGCAGTATAATGAGACTATGAAAGTTTTTTTATTTAATAAAATGTACTTAGCTTAATGCTTATCATTTTACTTGGTAAGGGCTTTCAAGAAAGGAAGGAAGTCATAGATTACTTGCAGTTTATCTACAAATGTTCATAAGAAATTCTTTCATATCTCATAGTTCTTATGAAAAAGACTTGAGCAGCATTTCAGCACTGAAGCAACGTAGATATGACTAAGTGCATAAACTGAGCTGAAAATGTGTAGTTACAATCTTTGGCATTGGTTTATAGTTATCACAAGTTCAAACTCAAAATATGCCACATGGACACATGAGATATGTGCCGGCAAGTTCACATGTCTGCTTTCTTTTCTGCTGACACAAGTGCTGTATTAGAAATAAGAACATGTTAATTTCTTCACGAAAATGTAGCATCTGTGTCACTCATCTCTGTAGAAACAAGCTGTGGCAGCCAACAGATTGCTTACAACAAAAAGCAGAATTTGAAATTTTGCATACACCTCGCTGCTTCATGATTTAGTGTTGTGCTGCAGATGAGGATGAGAAAGGGACTACAGGGACAGGTGGTGCGCGAACCACAAGTGGTTTATTCACATCTTGCAAAGTGTCAGATAGGATGGATCAGGTGGAGGGTAGGACATCATTAAAAGACTAAATGTAAACAAGATAATTCACGCATATGCAAATGCCATTGTGTATGTCACATTCTTGAAATTTTCCACAATTTCTTGGTCACCACATAGTTAGCCCATGGTGGTGGTGAAGACGTTAGGGAGATAAAGAAAAGCCCTTTTATCATAGCTGCAAAACAGGAGTGTATCAGTACACTCTTATTACACTTAAAACTGGCCAGAAAATAAAATTTGTAGAAAGTGACATATGCGAAAAGTTTGTATGTGCTTATGTGGCATATGCAATATGCGTGCAATATCTTTGTTTACCTTTATTTAGTCTTTTCTGAGACCCCATCCACCATATTTCCATTTCTATTCTCGATTATCTTACTGCGCCCTAGTATGGGCAAAACCGTCTGCTCAGAACCTCAACAAACTAGAGATGTTACAGAAAAAAGTTCTTAGAATATTCGAAAATTTTTATGGGCTTCCTAGCGAACTACGTACTCATCAGCTCTTTATAAATCCGATCTTATTAGAGCATGTTACCTTTACCGCATATAAACTAATACTTTATACTCAGAAAAAACAAACTTTATCGGCATTCAGTTGACAGCTCATGCTGATACACTCTCCGAAATCAACTAAGACCAGTTCCCTTTTCTCGCACATGTTACAGAGAATGCCTTCTACACCACCAGATACCAACAGTATTGAACAAATTTTTAACTGGTATTGACTTCGAACTGCCTGAACGTAAATTCAAGATACATGTGCGAAGTATGTTGCTACAGATATAGAAACTGCTCAAATAGCACTAGCTATCTTATGTTATCATGTTTTTTTACGTGTTCTTCTTTTGTATAAAAATAGTTGTTTTTGCACATGTGTGTACAAGATTTGTGACCCATGTGAAATTGTGTGTTTATTTTGTTCACTAAAAGGAAAAAGAACTAAGCTTTTATTTTGCCTATGCATGTACAGTGAATTACGCGATATTTTTGTAAAATGCCTGCTGCTCTTGAAGGGTTCTTGGGCTCTCTCAAGATGTCTCTGACATCTTTTCGCCTAAGGACCTTCGACTTGATGTTGTTGGAAATAAACTTGACTTGACGGTCCCGTCGTCCTTAAGTTCGAAAAAAAAAATATCAGATTGGTAACCTATATTTAACACTTTGCAAGATGTGAATAAACCAGTTGTGAGTTTGCGCACCACCTATTTTCCATTCGCTTTTTTACCCTAGTCTCGTCATTCGGAGTGCAACAAGAAATCAATTAGCCCAATTAATTGCTCTGCTGACTCAGAAAATTGACATGAGTGCTAACTAAAACTCGTGCGTCTACTACTTTCAGGAGCTGGAAATTTTTTTACAGATCAGTGTTATTAGCGAGGATGACAAGACGAGGATGAGTGACACCTTGCTGCTAACACCGATCTGCAAAACATTTTCCAAGACCTGAAAGTAGTGGATGCAAGAGTTTAATTTAGCACACGTGGCAAAGATCTGAGTGACACATGACAATGGAATGAAGATGATGTGTCGTTCTTATGCAACCTATACCCTTCGACATAACTTTTGTTAGTAAGGTGTACCCTCCAACGAGCTAAACAGTTTTGTGTAGTTTTTATTAATGTGCATACTTTTGCTTAGCTAAACTTTAAGACAGCTACACTTCACAACTCATGGAGGTATGATGGCTTCAATACAGATAAAACTTTCAGATCTCGTCGACAGTGAATAACAACGAGGACTGCCAAAAAGAAAAGAAAAATGAAGGTTCATGTTTACCAATGTTCTGCATTGCTTTTCCAGAAAGGGGAAAAAAGAACAAAGCTACTAAACAAAAAAAAGAGGTAAAGAAGGAACGCAGTAAAACTCCATCCCTAGAAAAGCCCCAGAAACAGAAAGGTTATGTGTTTAAGGCTCTCTGTCTGCTTTGGCACAGTTCTCATAGAATAGAAACCTAATTTAGTGTTAAGTAGCACCTATAGTCGGGTGCAACCTATACCTGTGTTTACTTGTGTCAGGAACACTATTGCCTCATACACTTATATCAGTGTCTACATCACTTTTTGTGGCTAGCTTCGCAGCAATACAACAGGTTGTCTCAAACGGTTCCACATACCACTTGTTCCATTTGAAGTTATGGATGTCACATGTCATATTGTAAGCATTATACGTTGGATATTCACTTTGCAAATTTTTTTTTTTATATTGCGTGAAATTTTCCTCCACACACCGTGGATCTTTGTAACTTAATTATTCTACTCGTAGAATGCCTTGTTCGAAAAATCAGTTATGAGAAAGCATCACGTGGAAAGGAGGTTCGTGGAGGTAAAAAGGAACTTTTTCATAAATGTTTCTTGGCCTAGCAGGCCACTGCAGAGCTGTTCTTTTGATGTTTCATGTTCATGTGCTGAAAGTTGTAAATATGCCATCACGCTGTGATATGCTTGCCTTGTTATCTCAGGTGGTGAGGCAAGCTTCTTAGTAATGTGTTGGCCTAGGGGGCTAAATTTTAAACCAGGATGAGTTGTAACAGCAAAGCTGTAAATCAAATTACAAAGATGGCAGTGGTGTTGCTAAACAAGTTGCTGCGCCATTGGCTAGCAACTTCCGAGCTTAGCACGTGCCCTACCAACTGTCTAACGATAACGATGGCAGTGGTGCTGAAAAAAAAAAAACTGTCACTTTGTTGCCTAGCAACGACTGAGCACAGCACGTGCTCTGTGATAGAGACCGCTGCATGGCGTCTTATGGCAATCTGAAGCCATGGGATGCAGAGCGTAGCTCGAGTGACGCCATGCATAGTTGTGTTCTGTGATGGAGACGAACGTGCATAGCGTCCCATAGCAGTTTAAAGCCGTGGACATGAAGAGAGAAAACTAGAAAGAGGAAGCAAGCATTGAGACTAAATACTGCACCGTCTGACCAAGCCGCACATGCACGTTAGCCAGCCAGGGCCATTGATGCAGACGTGTGACAACTCCACTCTACAGTGCATTTCCTGGCTGTGCCCAATTATGCAGAGACAGCCATGGGATGCCTTAAAATACTGCGTACTCTCAAGGCAGATGACTCGCATCTTGAAGCTAGATGTGACGATTGACTGGAAGTACAAGCTGCACCCATGCTTCGCTCAGCCAGGCTTTGCGGGGCTCAATGCAAACTTCCTGATTTTGTCAATCTTTCATTATTGATTAACCCATTTGCTGAGAAAGCCGTGTGCATTTTTTTGTATGTTTGTGCTACAAATGGGTATATGACAGTTTTTGTTATTTTTTACGATTTGTTTGCTATGGTGGCATTTTGGCTTAATCTGCGCATGAGGAGGCTTCAGTTTCCACGTCAATGTGCTTGACTTGTCATTGAACAGGTGCTGCAGCGACGGCGGCAGCTGCTTTCCCATCAGCCAACTGCTAGTCAGGCTTCAGAGTCTGGTGGCGAAAGCCAGAGAAAGAAACTAAGCCGTCTGGACCCCCCATGTTGAGTCGGTGAGATATTCTAACCACACTCTCTTTAAACTTTGAGGTGTGAGAAAACTTTGGCGTTCAGCTAGCCATTGAAGTCGAGAGCAGTCATGGGATGGAACTGCCCCTAAATCTCGAAAGAAGCTCCATTGTGAAATTTAATTTTGGATGTGTAGGTTTTGCATTGTGATAAGTTGCAGCATTAGCCTACATTTTTGATGGAGCCATAAGGTATAATTACTATAAAGCATGTCTAGTTTCACTATAGCTGTGCAAAGGATTTTTCCTCTAAAGGAGGAAGCATTCTGTCTCGAGTAGAGAGCAAGGTGCGGATACCAGAGGAACTTAAGCCATGGCTTGTAGACGACTGGGACCTTATCACGGAACAAAAAAAGGTAATGGCTTATTACTTTACTGCATCGGACAGCTTTCAATGAAAGCCTGATACTCTGTGTCAACCACATAAAGAAGATTAAAAAGACATAGTTTTCACTGCTCATATTAATGACTAAAAAGTACTCATTAGAATCCGAAATTAGTGTGGAATGTGGGTGCTGTGTAGCCTACATAGACTTGCATATTATAGAGGCCTGTGACATGAATAGAATTAGTCTGCAATACCAGGTTCTGTCATTAGTGTTCCTTTTAAAATTTTCTTCATTAATAATAATGCCGTGCCCCGCCACGGTGGTCTAGTGGCTAAGGTACTTGACTGCTGACCTGCAGGTCGCGGGATTGGATCCCGGCTGCAGTGGCTCCCTTTTCGATAGAGGCAAAAATGCTGTAGGCCCGTGTGCTCAGATTTGGGCGGACATTAAGGAACCCCCAGGTGGCCGAAATTTCTGCAGCTCTCCTTTACGGCGTCTCTCATAATCATATGGTTGTTTTAGGACAGTAAACCCCACATATCAATATCAATAATTGATGGATTATTGATGAATTATTGATGGATCAGGAAACGAGGAATCTAAATAAACGTCAAATCACGAAAGTTTCAAGTACAACAGACAAAATAGAACTGGCAGAGCTTTCGAAGTTGATTAATAGGCGTAAGGTATCCGATGTGAGAAGGTATAACATGGAGAGAATTGAACACGCTCTGAAAAACAGAGGAAGCGTCAAAGCATGAAGAGGAAACTTGTGATAGGCAAAAATCGGATGTATGCACTAAGGGACAAAGAAGGCAAAATAACTACCAATATGGATAGGATAGTTAAAATAGCGGAGGAGTTTTACAGAGATCTGTACAGTAGCCGGGACAACCACGACTTTAATGCTATAAGAACTAGCAGTAACCCAGATAACACCCCACCAGTAATGATAGAAGAAGTCAGAAAAGCTTTGGAGAGCATGCAAAGAGGCAAAGCTGCTGGTGAGGATCAGGTAACATCAGATCTGCTGAAAGATGGAGGAAAGATTGTGTTAGAAAAACTAGCCACCCTGTTTACGAGGTGTCTCCTGACTGGAAGAGTACCAGAGTCTTGGAAGAACGCTAACATCATCTTAATACATAAGAAAGGAGATGACAAGGACTTGAAGAATTACAGGCCGATTAGCTTGCTCTCTGTTGTATACAAGCTATTTACAAAGGTAATTGCTGCCAGAGTAAAGAAAACATTAGAATTAAATCTACCAAAGGAACAAGCAGGATTTCGAACAGGCTACTCAACAATTGACCACATTCATACTATCGATTAGGTAATATAGAAATGCTTAGAATATAACCAACCGCTATACATAGCCTTCATAGGTTTGATTCAGTAGAAATATCAGCCGTCATGCAGACACTGCGGAATCAGGGCGTCGATGAAGTATATATAAACATCCTGGAAGAAATCTACACGGGATCAACTGCTACCATAGTGCTTCATAAAGAAAGAAACAGAATACCAATCAAGAAGGGTGTAAGGCAGGGGGACACAATCTCCCCAATGCTATTTACTTAAGAAACTCGGCTGCTGACCTGCAGGTCGCGGGATTGAATCCCGGCTGCAGTGGCTCCATTTTCGATAAAGGCAAAAATGCTGTAGGCCCGTGTGCTCAGATTTGGACGGACATTAAGGAACTCCAGGTGGTCGAAATTTCTTAAGCTCTCCTTCACGGCGTCTCTCATAATCATATGGTTGTTTTGGGACAGTAACCCCACATATCAATATCAATAATTGATGGACTATTCGTTGATTATTTTTTTTTGTAATTGGTGTTCTGATGTTAAATGTTCGATTGCTGTGTTTGCATGCCGCTTGTACAGCTTCCCTGCAATGTCACTGTGGACCATATTCTCGCGGATTATGTGAAACAGAATACGTCAGTAAAAGGAATTTCATCTAACAAGTGAGTAACCTTACTTTAGCTTACCTGTGGTGTATAACTCTATTTGCCTGTAGCTCGTTTCTCTATTGACTGCCCTGTGAAGACATTATGCAAAATTTGCTGCCATATAGCGGCCGCCTTGCGCATTTCCACTCCATATGTGCTCGCACTCCGCACGAACACATACAGAGCATACGCATCGACATGTGGCGGCTGTAAAAAACTGCAATGCCAACATGTTTTCGTGGGCCGTCTTGTTCAGGGAGATGATACTGGGATGCTTGAAATACAGTTTGCTCGCAAATAACCTCCATGTCATTTCTTCGCGGCCGACGAGAAGCGCCAGATCATTCCATTGTTCCAGCCACTGCTTACGGCTAACATGGTGTTTACGTTCGCTGTTCATAATAGATGTGGTATGTGAAAGCATTGGCACTCGTAGGAGAACACTTTTTTGTGTCATTCCGAAACCGGACGGTGTTCGGGCTGTGTGCTTGCAGGCACTGACAAACCGGCTTTGTGTATGAGCTTCAAAGCTGCATTGGGGCTACTTGCGCATGCTTCCACTGCTTTTGACAACATTACTGTGTTTTATTATATTGTGATAACAATTATAGATGTTTGTCAGGGAGCTCATGCACATCATCGATTATTAGTGAACCAAGTGATTGAGCGCATTGTTCGTGGTCCATTTTTTTTTATTGTGGAGTTTAACAAGGTGAAATGAAGTTTAACAAGGCTTATCAATAACTACATATTTTTCAAGCATTCATGTGCTATAACTAACTACCAAGTTCATAGGGGCGGCCTGGACTGCCCTCCTCTTACTTTTAACACAATTGAGTTCAACAGCTCGTTTGCGAAAATTTCAGTGTCTGTGCCGGTATCATTGCTTGTGAGTAAAAAATAATAATCTTGTCCGTGACCGCAAAATCAAGAAATAAATTATCGGGTCCGAGTAAGGATCCAAGTCTGGCTGTTTGTATGGCAAGCAGGTGTTCTACATCACAGATACGCATCTGCTTGGAAATACGGTGAAAAAACTTTCGCTGCTTGAAAATGCAGTGAAAATAACTTCAATTGTTCACAAACACGGGAGGTCTGTATACGGCCTTCATAATACAAGACATAATATTGCAGTAATAATGCATGATACAAGCATACATTGCCATTGGGCATCAGAACATGTGATTATTTTAACGGCTTCGTGGTTTAAAGCCGGCCACCCATTACAAAAGGCACACAAATTAGTGGGCGTATTCTCTTAAGTCCACGTTGTGGTGCATAGCAAGTTTGAAAACATTTGACATGCATAATTGCTTGTGGTTTAAAGTGTGCCACCCCATTACACAGAATGCAGCCATATGCAAAAGCTTCACTGACTCAAGCCACTTTCATCCTTATCAATTACATTGTATTCATCCACAATTGAAACTTTTGTAGTAACATCATGCAATAAGAAGTATGCATTAAGTGGTTGAAGTATGCACTCGCTACAGGATAATGCTATTGCGTTCAACTCTTGAAGGCGAAGCTTAAGGGTCCTAAAATTTTTTTTTCAGTGTACGCTCAAATAAGAGTGGATAACAGGTTCTCCCAGAAGCTGATTCCTTTTCGCAAAAACTTGTATCCACCCGTGTGTGCCATGAAAGGTTAAGACGTGCGTGTATGTGGCACTACTATTCGTTTGAAACTAAAATGAAAAAAAAAAAAAAAAAACTGACCAGCAAAAACGTTACATTTTACCGCGGGGTGTGTTATCATTGTGTGTTATCATTGGTTATGTGCTAAAGTGGTTTTGCAAGTGTTCATTCAGTGACGGAAAACTACATTGCTGCAACAGGTTGAAATTAGATGCCAGTGGGCCTTAAAAGCAACAATATGAATACGAATATTCTTAGCGTACCGTGTTATTTACGAGCACATGTCCGAAGGATTTTTCACAAAATACCCCTACTTCTTATGGTGGTATTGGGGATGTTTTTTGGGAGATTTGCGGCTGTGCCTGCACAATCGGGAGGTTTGTCAAGAGTGTCCCGTGCAAATCAGAAAGCTGGCAGGTGAGCGCGTCCCCAACAATGAAGCACATTGATGTTTCAAGGCCTAACTACTTCGCCAAGCAAATCCACTTTTTCTTTCTGTCCTTGTTCACCTTTTGTGAGATGTCTGATTTTAAGGTCATGGCTTGCATCGACAGGCGTGTGTGAACGCAGTAGTACAATGACGTTGCATCGAGCACAGCAGCCCTCATTGACAAATTGAAAAAAAGAAAAAGGAAAAAAAAACGATGCAAGCGCAATCTGTAATCTAAACGCAAGGGCACATGTAGGCACATTTACTCCTCCAAGATTCGCACTCGTGATCTTGGAGACTACAGCGTGCTGCACAAGCCCGCACTTCCGTTTTCCACACCCTCACACTGTGATTGCCGCATAGATTTTTCGACCACGCGGGCAGCACCCGTTCGTACCTGCATGCTAGCATATGTTCAAATCAAACTTCGCAGGGTAAAAATCAGTTAGCAACAACCCTACTTCATTACATTGCAGGCTAATAAGCCTTAACCGGGACCACAGGAAAATTCGCACCACACCGTAATTGGTACAAGCTGTGATTGTAACACTGATGTTTTACTATGCATACATACTGTAATCTTGAAATAGAAGCTAGCCAGCTTACCGGCACGTCCCTATTCTGTTCAATGAAACTTGTGAACTTCAAGATGCCCGTTTCTAGATCTGCAGTGGAGTAGGCGAGTTGCAAAAAAGAATCCATTTGCAGTGCCATCAGTACATTTGTGCAGGAAACAGCCAATGGTTACCATTGTGCATGAGCATTATCTTGGGTTTGGTTGGCATGAATGCCACATGGATTACACAAAATGTTCACACTGAAATGAAACCTCTATATCACCTTTATACTTCTTTTAACTCGCATAAGCACTGCGTCCTTGTGTGTTTTTAAAGTTTTTTTCATGCTTAGTGGCAGCTCAGGCTATCGCTACTTGAATAATTCGGGGCTTTTTACACTGGTGGTGGTATTTATGCAGCTTGTCTATGCATGAGGAGGGCTTCAATAAATGGAATATAGATGCACTATTGGAACATGTCTTAAAAATTCAAAGTGAAGCTTTGATAACTCATAGATTTTGGGGTTTTATGCAAGTAACCAGGCATCCATGAGGGTAAGGAAATGAGGCCTTTGAAGTTGCACCGGCTTGTCAGTGACCAGCCATTTTTCATATAGCAATCTGATCTTTGGTGAGGTGACTTGTCATTTCACATTGTTAAATTTCATTGTTGCGCGGGCACGCACGCATGACCGTTGTTGTTGCTTGTGGCAACTAAAGTGCTGTGCTGCTAAGTACGTGGATGAAAGTCCAATTCCCAGCATGGAGGAAGGAAACAGTTGGGAGGATTCATTGCACAATGTGATGAAAAGAAGTGAAGAAAATTACTTTTAGTACACACACACACACACACACACACACACACACACACACACACACACACACACACACACACACACACGCACGCACGCACGCACGCGCACTAAGCTTCGCTAGCCCCCCTTTGTCCTGACAGAGCGAGCGCACCTGGATTTCTTTCTCTCTCTCTCTTTTTTTTTCAAAAGAAGTTACATTCAGTGGCACTTTCTTGTGTTTACTGTTGCTTGAAGCATTGTTACTGAAAAATTTCCATTATAGTCTGTATTGCTCTACTTAGGATTTCTTCTGTAGAAAACTGCAAAAAAAAGGTAAAAAAGCCCTTATTTCTCTTTACACAGGGAGAGTGCCATCATCGAGGTGACAAATGGTCTCAAGGAATACTTTAATGTGATGCTAGGAAGCCAACTTTTGCACAAGTTTCAACGTCTTCAGTATGCTGATGTAAGTTTGGTCACCAATAATGGAATTTGTAGATGACTTGTCCTAAAATAGTGCTTTTCGGCTATCTTACCCTGTTTATTAGTTTATTATAATTATAATTATAAGTTATTATAATTATAAGTTTATTAGGTGGAATATGTTTGGCCACGGTGTAAGATATATGTAGTACTTTAAGTGGGGACCCTTGCGGGATGCAATTGACCATATAAAGTGACAATGTCTTGTGTGCACCAGTCAGCTGGCGGTGGGATGGTGCAACTTCAAAACAAAATGCATTATCATAGCAACTGCCAATTTGTAGAAAATCTGAATTTCTTTGTCAGTGAAATGCACAATCATTGATATTACGGCATAGAACAAATTGTTATCATTGAGGCACCCAAGCAAGAAAGCTGCTGTAAAAGGCAGGGTTGAGTTTGACTGTAGCAGTTCAACACATTTCCACACTATCAGAAGTGCCTGAATGGCGTGCACTAGATATAGACATCTTCATTACCAGGATGTATTTGTTTTGCGGACTTCAAATATTTATAGAGCTGTCAAGCTGCTAGCAAGACTTCTGAAATGACGCCTCTGTTCAGTTTTTCTCATCAAAAACACTTTGAAACAGCACACTGTGGTAGAATGCTTTACTATGCTGGATTTCTGGGTTCAATTACAGCTGAAACCCTAATTTTTATTACTGACATCTTTATTCTTGTGCTGTGTTTGAGTTTGGTGAGGGACGACTCTGGATGCTAGAATGCGTGTTTAAGAACCAACATGAGCAGTATCACAGTCGAATCTCTCAATAATGAATTCTGCTGCAAAGAAATTTCCGCCATAATGAATGATTTTCGATTCCCCATTAGCCACCCATAGAAAGCAAAGTTAAAAATGGCTCTTCTAACGAATACCTTTCCTGGATATTTCTGCTTTAACGAAGTTTTCCGAGTACAACCCCATAATAAATAGAAGCTTGCCTCGATTGCCGCGAAATTCCACTCGACCATTTCTCGACGTCTGACACCCAGAGCGCAAGGCAGTATCACAACAACTGTGTTTTCAACAGATACACACTTTCTGCCACCACACGCACATCCTGCTAAATATATCGTCATTGAGATGCTCTGCGACAGCTCGCCCACCCACCATGATGCTGCCAATAGATCTGATGCAGGTACGTATGGGCTGCGGCATAATCGCGATTTCTAAGAAACACCGCCATATATTTTGACGTCGTGCTCAAAACTAAACTACTGCTTGTCGTCACCAGCCCTGCGATCGTGAATAACAACTACACCGCATGAAGGCGCACACCCGAGCAGCGCGCACTTCGTCCCAGCGTGACTGCATTCTGCTGCAATTGCTGTAAACACAAATGCTGTGGTGTCGAACACAATCATGGCCGTCCACGAAAGTACGCGGGCAGTGAACACGCACCGACTCAACCCAGTATTTCTTTCTGTAACGATGCGAACAAAGATAGCAATGACGCAGTTCTTAAGTCACGTGCACAGCCAGCACAGCGCGCACAGATTGAAAACGAAGCTAGTATTGCTTGCAGGAACCGCTGTGCAGGAAACCGTGCATGGTTGGTTGCTATCGTCTTGTTGATCGATAGCGAATATCCTCTGAAGGTGCGCAGTTAAAACAGCCGTAGATTAAAGGCAATAAAGTCATAAGACAACACAAAGCATTATGGCTTTCCTGTTGTTCACTTATGGCCATGGTAGTGCGGAGCTTCATCACAGTTAATTGCAGTTATCAGTTGGTCTCTAGCTAAGCTTTGGCACGCTCATTCGCAGCGATGTGCACTCAGCACGCCTCGTCTGAATATCATATTTTCTTCTGTTCAACTTACCTCTGCATATAACTGGCATCCCCAGCCGCAAACCACGGGAGGAAGAAAAAACTACTCGCGTATTGACGCTAGGCTGCCTTCATTACATTGCCGTGAGCCGTGCTGTGAAGCCCACTTGCGTGCCGAAATTCTTGTGAAATTCGCACCCCAACTTCAGCTCAAAATTTTTTATATATTTTGTGATCACGTTATACGCGAGAAAATACGTTCACTTAGTGCTCGGCCAGGCACGCCTGAGTTGGCGAGAGTTCAATGCATGCGCTTGAAGAAACCAAAGGACGAGTTATCGTCAGATCTTACCAAATTTTGTGGTTTGTAGATGAATTTCGCTACAACGAAATTCCGCGACTATGAATTTTTTCACACGTCCTATCAATTTCGTTGTAGGGGGATTTGACTTTAGTTAAAGGGGCCCTGACACCGAATTTTCGCTCATAATCTGTGTCATATAGGTCAATACTTGGGTGTTCACAAACAAGCTGGCAAAATTTCAGTGCAGTAGGTCAAGAACTTAATTTATAATGAGCATTTTTATAAACATGCAAGTGGCCCAAGAGTATGACAATAGTGGTGTTTTTGCCAGCCATGACGTAACAAGCCACTTCTTTTTTAAACGTCTGTATTTGGCCAATGATATTGCTTCATGGTCAGCTGTGCATGCAGTGGCAATATTGGAGCTGTCTTCATTTTGGCATTAAAAATTGATTTGTTTGCAGCTGCTGAAACTTGGGTAGAACACGATAGCTCCCCTCCGTGTGTCACTTGACATCACCCACGCTATGGCAAAATGGCGGTCGCCGATGGTGGGCTGGGTTTATAGCCAGTGGCTTCAATGGCTCATTTTGCAATGAAGTATATTTCTACAGGCCATTTTTTATACACGTATAGGCACAATATATTTTCTACTTCTGTATTTCACTGAAGAACACATTTTGGTGGGCAACCACGCTGTGACCCCATTGAGTCTGAAGGATTTCCATCCTTGTAGAAATGGCCTACACCGGTGCACATATTTAAAAAAAAAAAAACTGAATGCTTATATCAGACGTCTTTTAGTACGTGTGAGTATGCATTTGTATGTGCATACCTTAAACACTACCAAGCGAAAAAAGATTAATTACATTAACATATACAGGAAGGCAGGGATCACAAATGCCATTTAGCATGTGCTCTTGCACACAAAATATTACCGTTATTCCACAACTTTCATATTTCACTGTGTATGTTACATGTGAAAAAAAAGTGCCCCAATTTTTTTTCTGTGCAAATTGTGTGACTTTTGTTCACACATATTCATATTTGTAATGGTTTTTGCATCATACAACAAGCAGTTTAAATTGCTGTACCTGCAGGAAGATAATTCCATTTGGCTGTTAAACTTCCCAAAGCTGCACTAAAGCTCTGTATGTAGCGATGAGATTCACAAATGCATTTAGTTTGCATTCTGCCCCCTCGGGAAGTACCTGTTCACACTGGTTGGGAATTGAACCTGCAACCATTTAGTACTCTGCAGCAATATACCACTGCCGCTAAAGCAGCTCAATGAGTAATGATGACTCTTATATTGCTAATTGCTTTTAATAAGAGTTTAACTATGTCACATTGGATGTCATAAAGTGGTGCTAGCTTGGGCTCCATAATCATGTGCCAAGTAGGTATTGTGCATTGTGATCTGAGTTAATGTTCTATTGTATATGCAGGCTTTAAATGAAAGGCCGGATACCCCTATCTCACAAATATATGGTGCCATTCACCTGCTAAGGCTATTCGGTGAGTTGCCCTTTTGAGAGGCATTACTCTGCAATGGCTGAGCTGTAGACTCAAGGTCACATAAAGTTTCGTACAATAACCTTGAGCTGAAACTGGCGCTGCACTTATTCAGCCACCATGGTATTGATAAGAAGTACAGGCTTACAGGCTTCAAATTGGATTGAATTAGCTAGCAAGCCCCGCCGCAATGGTCTAGTGGCTAAGGTACTCGGCTGCTGACCCGCAGGTAGCGGGATCGAATCCCGGCTGCGGCAGCTGCATTTCCGATGGAGGCGGAAATGTTTTAGGCCCGTGTGCTCAGATTTGGGTGCACGTTGAAGAACCCCAGGTGGTCGAAATTTCCGGAGCCCTTCACTACGGCGTCTCTCATAATTATATAGTGGTTTTGGGACGCTAAACCCCCATATCAATCAATTAGCTAACAAACTGTCTACAGTTTTTTTTTCTGCTGTTTGCTTTGTTTTTTGCATAGAGGGGTGCAGTGCAAGGCGCTCAATTAATGATGCTTTTGTGTTTGAAACAGGCTGAAGACCACTAGGTTTCACGGTTTGCTGTGACGTTGCAGCTTTACGGGTTGTACTCAACAGCTGTACTAAAGTCTTTTGCACTCACTGCTATGCATAGATGTAGCGTCTCATGCCAGTGCAGTAAATCGCACACAGTTCATGTTTTTTGATAAGTACACCTTGTTGAAGGTCATTCAAATCGGCTGCAAATTGACATGGACTCATCATCACGCTCCTCTGCCTCTGTTCATGTGTTTAAGGCAGATTACCGATGCAAATGCATCTCTCATCGCAGCAGATAATAAGTTAACATTTTCTCGCCCAATACAGTATTTTTATTTATATAGATAGATGATGCTTGCTTCGGAGGGAAAAACAAATGTGTTGATATTTAATAAAATAATTCATTATTTGTTGATGCCATATCCGGAGCGCAGTTACAGAGCAATGCATACCCTGATGGTTAAAATTGTTCAGGCTATACTTAAAAAACATGTTCATGTTAATGTTCTGCAATACGTTTTAGTTTAAGTAAGTATTAAGTGAAAATAATGTAATAACCTTTTGTTTTGAAACTCTTAACAAGCGTTGCAAATCTCAAGAACGAAATCCATCTGAAGCCTATACTTTTCAACATTCCCATGGTGGCTCAAGCGCCACTCAAAAAGCCTGCATGGACACTAACATCAGATTCCCTTATGGGTATTATAGTGTGAAACTTTATGCAAAATTACTACTCATATAGCATATTGGTTGGAAATTATAGTAGAAGCTACAATCTTCAAATGCATATAGTAGTATTGCATGTTCGCAAAGACGCATCCCATCTCACTACGACACGTCACACTATGCACTGCTCTGCATGGGCACCATTATTTCACTTTGTAGGACAAACCATGGGCACTGCCTAACGTATACAGCCATGTTGCAATGCAGGCAAAAGCGTCTACAGGCATTGTGGCACCGTCTCTCAAAGGAAGCCTAAGACTAGCTCAAACAGGATTTCAGATAAAAGTGACTCCTCTGGAAGTGTGAACTTGTGCATTTTTTTTTCTTTTGTGCAGTTAATGGCAGTGCCATTGAAAATTTTCTTGTCAACTGCAGACATATACATGTATATATATATATATATATATATATATGTGTGTGTGTGTGTGTGTGTGTATGTGTGTATGTGTGTGCATACACTGCAAACATATACGTGTGTACTCTACGTTTTGGCCGTGGCATGGCCGAAACGTAGAGTAAACAACTATCAAATTTTCGTAAGTGTGCTCCTTTATTTCTTAGCTATATTTGCACCGGACCCACAGAACTTGTATATATACTCACACAAACTTGCTTAAAAGTTTGGACATTCCTCGCAACTCTGACAAATTAAAAGTTCAGGTTCTACATTTATTGTACAAGTGGTTATTGCTGCAGGAATATTAGCTTATGGAGGAAGCTTATCTTATATTTCAGTCAGGCTTGGCAGCATGTTGGCTTGTACCCCGCTGGACGAGAAGAGTGTGCAGCTTCTGCTACATCACATTCACGATTTTCTCAAGTGAGTTTCATTCTGTTTTGTCATATTGATCACGGTGGTGATCCAGCCAGTTTACGATTTGGAGTAGGAGGAAATGTGTGTCGGAGCAGGTTTGGAGCAAACAAGGTGTAATTTACGATCATTCAGTGCAAAAAAAAATAATCTTCAGTGAATATTCTTATTAGTGTGCAAACTGAAAATGCTCCTGCAATATAAGCCCGGAGACAGCCGACATATAGAGAGCAGCCATTAAGGGGGCAGACTGGTCTTAGACATTTTTTGTTTATTTCTTCAGTGATCTTGATCAAACTGCACAGGATTATGCACTTTTTTCTGCTGATTTCAAACATTTAAATAGTTTTCCTGTCACTCATCTTGTTCCTGAGATAAGTTCACCCCCTATTGTTTAAGGCCGCCATAGATAAAAAAGTGCTTAATTATAAGCGATATTTAAGACCCTATTGTTTAAGGCCACCCTAGATAAAAAAAGTGCTTAATTATAAGTGATATTTAAGATATGCCAACATAGACTAATGACTGTAAATTGAAAGTATGCAAGTTTTTTTTTTTGGGGGGGGGGGGGCCTTGGTTATTTCAAAGCAAAATAAACTATCCATTTTCAAAAGCAGTTGGAATTGTGTTACAATATTGATGTGTAATTAATTAAAAAGGCGTGTGCTCTAAATTCTGCTCCCATACTCGCATTCTACGCACATACAAGTTTCCATTGCAATAATCATTATTGTTGTACCGGTCCTAGCTGCAGAGATATTGAGGCCTCAAAATTGAACAGTCGTAAAAGAGAAATGAAAAAAAACTGAAAATGCACAGCTTCTTCAAAAAGTAACAATCATGGGGCGCATGTTTTGCAATCCTCATAAGGGTGCTCATAAATTCATTACAGAGCTTCTAACATGGGTCCCGGCAAATTATAAGGAAGCGCTAAAGTCCGTTCCCTATTTTTTTTTGCAGGTTCTGCATGTTAACAGCACCGAGAATCTGGACAGTTAGAATGACATTACAAAAAAATTGCCACTTCCTGGTGTGTCAAAATTGGCAGAGAGAAAAATGCTTGCCAGTTTTAAAAAATGAATTTTTTTGTCACTTTTTGGTTCTAAAGACCAGTCTGCCCCCTCAATCAGGTTCTTTACACCAAAGTGTTACATTATGAGCACTGCACAAGTCGTGCGTGACGTGCAAAAGCGACAAGGACGGTTACATGTGTTAGTGACAAGGCAAGCATGCCACATACTGCTTCTGCAATATGACAGGTGTCAGGAGGTCATTCCGAGGAAAAGACCGTAATCAGAAAACCAGCAGTCTAACAAAGAATGAAAATGAAGTAAACGCGATAAAGTAAGAATATACTGTTCGAAATTGATTGCATAGACAGTGCATCAAATAATCACCACTACTTTTCATGAATGATGCTCCATCTTATTCAATAATTGTTAGAGGTGTGAGCACAGAGTGACATTTTCTTTTTAATTTAAAGAACTTCAGCCCTAGCACTTCCAGTTTTCTAGATTAACAAAAAGAAAGTACTCTAAAAAATTAAACTGGCACAATGTAAACAGCCTATACGAAGGGGGCAGGGTGAGAGATCCATCTAAACATGAAGGGGGGGGGGGGGTGTATTTCTGCGAGGCAGTCATGAAGGAGACATCCGTTTGTTGAAATGTTGGCTTTAGCAATGCCACGTGTTCACGAATTTTACACCTAAATATGTTGTCAAGGTTCGATGGGTGGGTGTGAGCCCATGCTACTCACATGGTTGGGGAATAACTATGGTGTCTGCGAACAGGCGAAATGACAACAAACTTGTTAGCTAGGAGGAGTGCTACCATTTTTTTCTTTTATTTGGGAGAGAGCGGGGAGAAGGAAATCAACGTCGGATTCGCGTACAAACGGCGGCCAAGCTGAGCCCGCTTGCAAGCGCAGTTGTCAAGTGTGAGGGAATCACTGGGAAACATTTACAAGCTGGGGAAACTTATTTGACCTTTTATTGTGACAGCAATATACAGAGAGTCTCAACAGGTTTTGCAGCAGCCGTCATGTAGCTTATAAAGTCCAAATTGACAAGATCCCCCAGCGTAAGCTGGGGCGACGAGTGTGGTTGCATAGGATATCAAACGAGCCAGCCCTTGCAGTGTAACTGCCTTTTTTTTTGTCGACTGACGACAATACACTTTATTGTTCAAACAGCGTTAAGGATGCATAAGAGCACTTGTTTTTTATAGGTGGCTAACTTCGCGGCTCAGTTACTTTTAATGTGCACTGGCTAACCGTGGCATTTCATCGGTTTTGCAATTAAGACGTGCAACAAGCGCTCTGACATAAGAAAGCGGCAGCTGTACCACATCGTGCCAGACGCACCCTACGTGGATATTTATGCTTAACTTTACATTAGGCATACCGAAAAACGTTGCTCAGCACGACATAGCGGCCTCAATTTTTTTTTTCTTTGTCAAAATCAAACAAGATGTTTCATGCCGAATTCTAATTTGCGTAAATAGGCTGTTGATAGCACACAGTGCCGATACCTGTTGCCCATTGGCGGTGGTGGATACGTTATGGTACCCCACATCAGTTGCGAACGAAAAAAAAAGTCACTTTTCTACGTGTTATCGCCAGTTTTATAACAAATACGAGAGGTTATCAACCGCATGCTAAACTTTCAACTACGGAGACGCCCACAGCAGCACAGGTACTTCGGTTAGGAGCAAGCAAAGCGAATTGGCGGCATTGTGAAAAGCTCTAATGGTGTTTGTTGCGACGACCAAGAATAATTTTTGGCCTTAAACGATCTGATGCGGTGTAAACAGGTGAACTAGTGAAGTTTGGCACAGTTAGTACTCGAGTGTGCGCAGCAAGGCGCAGGAATATAGAATTGATGCAAATGGTGCTATTGGGTCACCACTGTATACATATAATGCCTTGAAATAGTGAAGCATACATCGCTACGTGAATGTGTTTAGTTAATTTCAACAGTTACTTTGCTTCGAGATCTATAGTGCAGGTGCAGGTTGAAAACGTGTGCACTTCTCTTTAAATCATTATGGTTCCTCACATTTAGCTTGGCATTGTCTCTTGCTTAGCATTGCCTCTCGCTATAAAAAACTGGTCTAAGGAGGTTATCAAATGTCTGTGTGTGTAATGGTTGCATGACACAGTTGTGTGTGAAAGTATTTTTGTGCGTTACTTTATATTGACAGAAAAAACCGTGAGTTACTTTATACTGTTCACTAAAGTAGTACTTCACCGTGGGAGCACTGCCTGCCTTCATTTTCAACATCTACTCTATGTATGCAAAAAAGAAACATATTGTTTGTTTATGTTCTAGGTACATGGCTAGGAACTCGCAGCTGTTCAGCCTGAATGACTACACAATAGCACCTCCCGACTACCAACGGAAAGCCATCTGAAAAATGTAAATCTGTGCTACAGAAATAAAATCTACAATCACTTTGTCAAAATAGTCTTCCCAGTACTTGCTGCATTCATTTACCCCTTTAAATGATGTATCCCATGAACAAAGACCCCAAGAAAATAATGATAACAATCGTGTAATGGCTGTATGTGACTGATTGCTACCATAGCCCCCATGTTAACCGCATTTAGGTTGTATGTTTTGTTCAGATATAGTGTTCATTTTCAAAGTTTATTTCTCATCCCTGAATATTTTGTTGGACAAATTTTATTTACCGAAGGTGTGCATGCTCATAGTGAAATTGTGCAAGTTTCAAATATAAGATTTTCAAACTCCCTTCATCGGTCCATTTCCTCGCGTTGGTAAAAATTCTTTTACCATAAATAAAAATGGTCTATAGTTGAAATGTGGCATGCATTTTGAGGTGGAAGCACAGTAGACTTTATCAAAAAGACATGCCAGTTATCATAACAAGGCTTGCTGCTGATTCTAGTACTATGTTCATATGGGTCCACCAGCGCATGTTACACTTGAAGTATTGGAATAGATTAGGTGTAAATGTCAGACACAGAGGTGTTTCAGGGAGATGTTTACCGTCAAGCTTAGTAAGACCGTGGCTTCATACCACCCTTTGAGATTCGACTATATGCATTCTTCTTAAAGGCACATGAAGTGCAGCAGAATAAATCTGAAATTGCAAAGTGCGTGTAATCCCTCATTGTATCACAATTAAAACTGTGCGATGATGGAGGAAAAACTCCCCCTTGCATTTTCAACAACAAAAACCTTTACGTAACAAAGTTCTATCTACAGCCGATAACATGGTTAAATCATTGATTCAATTAAAGGGCACAAAAGAGAAAAGACGACAAATTACTTGTGCCTTTTTGTAAATATCAAATGTACTACTGCTACCTAGAGAAGAGAGAACATAGCCTAAAAACTCTCAGAAAATCTTAAAAACAAAAAAAAAAGAAAACAGGTAGAAGTTCCCAAGCCAGCTCACCATGTAGTCATATAATTTTGCTGTGTCTGCTTTGGGCTTACATAATCATTTCCTCTCTTGTTTAAAGTAGATTCCAAGAAATATGCTGGGTCTGCCATCCCATCATTCTTGCTACAGTCACTGCCTCTGGTTTGCAATTCAAACACAGATCCCGTTTCCCTATCACACTTTTGTAGATTTCACTCTTGTTAGTGTGATTATTGAAACAAAAAAATATTAGTTTTACATACACTCTCAATAAAGAGTGGATGATTGTGGTAAACTAAATACTCCTAAGTGGCTCTTCCAGGTGCTAAAACTTTTAAGACAGCCGTTAATATAAAGCCGTTTCTTTTTGCCATTCCTTAACCTTGTTACAACAGCACTGTCGTGCATTTCCTTTTTACAAGAAGACTGTTTAGGGCAAGCCTAAAAAATATCCTACATGATTCTGCAATGAGAAATCTTTTTCTACGATCCAAATTTATTACAGACTTCAGATTGCACATACGTACTTGTCATTACATAATAGGTGGTATAGAAGAACTTGACACATCACATAGTAATTGGAATGTGAAGACTTACAATCACAATAACCATCACCAGTGTTAGGATTGTAATCTGCCATTTGAGCCATAAATTTTCACACTCGTCATCACAAGATACAAAGGCAAGCGAACAAGGGAGCACGTAAGAGATTTCCATCTACTGTTCTCGCATGTTTCGAAGATATAATTGAAGCTCATGTGCTGTGATTGAGATTTTACAATTTATTAATTTATTATTTACAGGCAATGACAAAAAACACTTTCTGTACGCACATTGCCAAACAGGCTAAGGAATATCGGATAGCCCAGTTGATTGTGCAATTTCATTTAGTTCAACCCACACAATAACATTCCTCTTGTGAATAGAATGTTTGAACATCATTACAAGTCCATATGGTATGCAGCGTTGGAATCTGACATTTTTATATGAGAGTACACTTAGTGCTTCCTTGGATAGTTTCTGCCAGTTGAGAGATGTGTATAAAGGGTCAGGTTGATTGAACAATTATTGAAATTTGCATGACAAATATAAAAATTAGGTGTGAATTAGGCATCCCTCCACACCGCAAGATTCTAATGTCAATTTCAACCTCGTGGTCTCCATTGCTACGCTGCGCAGTCACAGAAACAAGTAAAGCTGCAAAGCAAAAAGCAAAGTTCAAAGAAATAAGTTTACAGTTACACCATCACTCTTGAAAGAAGATATAGTAAGGTTTATGACGAGCAGTTATTTTATCTTAGCATTATGGAGTCTGCCACACAAATTACCTATTGGCTGCTGAAACCTGGCACAACCTGGAATTGATGGTATGGTGACCCAGATAAAGTGAGGTCACATGGACGCGACGTTCAAGGAGCAATTTTTGTTTTACATATTTGTCCACAGGTAACGTTCACTGACATTAAGTTCATGCAATCCAACAACATGGCTTATAATGTCTTAATGGTTAAATATTTCGAAGCTCGTGTTCGGTATAATGAGATTAACAAGTCAGGTTTGCTCTTAATTGACAGCTGATGTTATTTTCAAAGGGAATATATTGGCCTGACCACTTGACCTAAATGGTCAAACCATTTGGATTTAGATTGTACTAAGTGGACAGCACCCACAACTTGTAGGCGGGGATTGCTAGTACGGGATCCCATTGTAGGCAGTTGCCTCGCGATATGCATCTCACGATGCTCAAATGAGTCAATGGCCATGGACTTCGGGTATATGGCGTGGCCATTTGGATATGTGGCATCATTTGTAGAAGGAAAAGGAAATGATTCTACCCGACTAGGGGACGTCATTTGTTACAATTTTTTCTCACGCATTCTCAGAAGCCTCAACTACTGGTCGGCAGTGTTTTCATGCTGAAAATAATGTTCTAGGGCCAAAAACACAGAGATTACAAGCTTGACTACATATGCAAGCCTGATTCTACCTCCATTTTTGTGGTTAATGTATGAGCACACAACAATGTTATGGGTATGAAATGTAATGATTTGCGAATACGTGAAAAGCCTCATAGAAGACGCTTTTGAAGTCTGCGATATGATGACAATCGGTTCGACTGGTGCCTGAAAAATGAGATTTGCACACAAGACCTGTCTTTATGATACTTGAAATACTACTTCATTTATTACATAACAACTGCAATGTGCGGGAACAATTGCCACAGCACTGGCGTAACAAGGGGAAGGAGAGAGGGCAATCCCACCCTCCAAAATTTTCAATTTTGCATTCATATTTATGCAAACGCATGCACGAGCATACACTGAGTACGGTTTACCCCCCCCCCCCCAAAAGAAAACCCACCGCAAAACTGTTCTAGTCCACGGTATATATAAACGACATAACCTCTTGTGTGCACGAAAGCGTTGCTATTCGTTTATTTGCGGACGACTGTCTTCTGTACAGAGCTGTTGAATCAACTAATGACCAAATTACCCTCAACGACAGCCTGAATTTAATATCTAATCGGTGCAACATTTGGGGAATGAAGCTTAACCAAAACTAAAACTTGTGTACATGCGCATAACTAATAAAAAATGTCCTCTTATGTTCAATTACTCCGTAAAGGGAGTCGAATTTTCTCAAACCAATAGCTTTAAATATCTCGGCTTAATATTACAATAATCTAACCTGGTCAATGCATATCGACAAAATCTGTGCATCAACTCGGCGTAAGCTCGGCCTCTTACGTCACAAACTAAAAAAATCCCCCTCCCATGTTAAACTTCTTGCATATAACCACGCTAATCAGGCCTCGTCTTGAATACGCGTGTATCGTTTGGGACCCGTACACTAAAAAGACATTAACAAACTTGAACAAATTCAGAGGTTGGCTGTACGGTTCATATATAATCGTTACCGGCCGACATGACTCGCCTACCTCTTTAATGCAATCAAACACATCATGACCTTACAGAGCCGCCGTAAAATAACAAGGACTAAAATTTCTTTATCAGCTTTGGAACCGTTAACTTGCACTCGACCCCGCTCCTTATCTAAACCTTTTGCCCCATAGACCCACCAGGAACTTTCACCCTTTTAAATTAACTCGATTTTTGCACGCACAAACAAATTCAAACATTCCTTTTTCCCGTGCACCATAAGTGATTGGAATGCCTTACAATATGAAACCTTCTTATCAATAATGTTCTTCAGTTGTTTAACCAGCTCGCAGAATAAATTTGTAACGGTGCCTTTATCCTGTGTTTGGTTTCCCATATCTAGTTGTGTAAAATCTGAGCTACGCTACTGTTATGATCATTGCTGCCTTACCTTCTTATGTGCCATATGTCTGAAATTTGCACTGATTAGTTCTCTCCTGTTCTCTGGTGTTTTCTTCGATTGCTCATTGCTTATTTCTTTCTTGCTCTCAATTTGTATTTCTTTTTTTTGTTTTTGTTTAAATCTGGTTTTCATCATTGATATACAAACAAACCACTCCTGCTTGGGCCGCCCTAGGCCTGCAGTATTGTATAAAAAAAAAAATTTCGAGCTGCACACCGACCCACCCGCTTAGCACACTTTTCAGGACTAAGTTGTTTTGAGCATCGAGGTCTTCTGGGGACTTAGCACTCACGATTCAGCAGTTCATACTTTTGAGCATGAGGTAATTAATAAAACCACACACGTCGTTTACATGGCCACGGCTATACACACGGAAATTCTTCGTGCCGCTCAGTCTGTGCCATGGAGGTTTATGGTCTGCGCACGCTCAAAAAGCAATACAAGATCTTTCTATGAGAGGCAATCCAGCCACTTTGAATGCATTCCAGCCACTTCGGTGATTAACGTATTGGGCTGAAGCACATCTTGTTTAAGATTAGAAGGAAAAAAAATTTAACTGTATCTCAAACAAAACAGAAAACTAACGATTCCCGTCACATAAATACATTGATCACCGTTATGAAATAATCTGAAAACAATAAAGCCGACATGAAAGTGCTTTTAATAATAATACACCCAATACTATGCTATTAAAATTAACACTGTCTACTTATTAACATTCAAAAACAAGCAACTCGTGTCCCACACGACTTGGCCGTTGCTGGACACTGGCCTGGGAGGTCAGGAGCGTGCCGAGAAGGCTCCCACCCATGGACGGCTTGAACCTCTGCTCACGGTGCATGCCTGTGTCCACTACATAAGTCACATCTTGATGATAATGGACTTCTCGGCAATGTTGGTAGAGGATCACTTTGTGCACATCTGAAAAGGCAGGACGAGGCAGGAGTGAGGACGACTGGTAAAAAATGTGGCTATAGTTTGACTGTAGTCACAATTGATATCATTCAAACCTCCTTATAAAAAAGTTGGATCTTACCGAAATAGTTATTATACCAAAAATTCATTATATAGGTATATGCCCAACACTACATTGCAAAACTATATCTGCATTTACTTCACTATAACCAGTATTTTGTTTTATCCAGATTCGTTATATCGTTGTTTGAATGTAGTAATACCGAATATTCGCTGTCGCAATCGACAAAAATCGGCACCAGCAATCAGCTGCCTGGCTCGCAGCATGTAGAAGCAAAAATCCTGTGCCAAACCATGCGTGAACAGCATTCTTGGGTAGCTTTTGGCGTAGTTCAAAATCCTCCGCCTAATGCAGCTTCAGTACCACGGAACCTGAGAAAGTGCACAACACACAGGCCACCCAGAGATTCCCTTGGCAATTATGCACATGCAGAGACGGTGGCGCCCTCTCTTATGCAGCACAGGTCTCAGCCAAATGTCCTATAAACATTATTCACAATGCTTCCTGGTTATTTCCAGGGATACATAATTTTAAACCTTTATAGTTATTGTGCAGTGGTCTTAAAGGGACACTACAAAGACAATCCACTTCCTCTAGATTTACAAAGTGCACTCTGATAACTCTAATGCACATATTTCCCTATCATAAGCTCCTTATTAGCAGAATATCAAGGGTGAAGTTTCATTTTGAAATTTCGTGCCAAGATCTTTGCACATGTAATAAATTTCAATATATATTTTCAGTATTTAGGTGACTTAGCTCGAAGTTTTCTGAAACTTCGTACGCTTAGTCTATGACACCCAAAGATTACAATGTACTTTTTTATCGACAGAAAGCTGCATAGTACCCAGTATATGTGTTCGAAATTTCCTACATCACAGTGTTTGGTGCGAGAATTTAAGGTGGGGTTGCCAAGTAGTCCGACCGCTTCGACGGGTGTTTCGGTTTCGATTTCACCAGCGCAGTCCGCGTCTCGCAGTCCACGTCGGCTCGCGTTTGCTCGCGTTTCGCTGCAGGAAACGCGAGTCGCATCTTTGGGAACTCGAGAGCAATTTTTAATAATATTGTGACGTGATTTACTGACGCGTGGACCCAGGTTGCTGGGTGAATGATACATTCAATTATTCATGTAATGGTTACACAACTCATCATGCTACCGTTTTACATACCACTGGTTACATCTTGAGCCAGTTTTGCAGCTGTCGGGAGTTCATTCCTCAGAAAGTATTGATGCACTTTTCTTCGTAGAGCTGCGAGGGAGAAGCTGTCATGAAGCTCCAGTCTTGTCTTCCCGGTTTTCGCACGGTCATCCATGGCGGGGAGGCGCAGGCGCTTGCGCTTCGGTGACTTCAGGGTTCCACTGTTAACGTCGAGCTTAATCCGGAAGACACTGCGCTCGCTAACACCAGTGAGCTCGCTGACTTTCCGACATGCGGCTCTCACAGACAGCTGCGGGTCGCTTTTCCTTACTTGCGCGTAAACGTTGTACGCCACTTCTTGGCCTGTACGGACAGCTTTTGATTTGACAACGCCTGGTACGGCTGCGCAGCTGGTGGACTCGGGGCACGCGGCGGTGTTTCCCCGTAAGCGACGTTGACGAGCTGTAACCGGCGGACGCCATCTTTGACAGTGAGGAATGCGGGGAGGTAAAAAGGCGATGGAAGCCAAAAAACCCCAAAAAAACCTGAGAGAGCGTGAAACGAAATTTTTTCTACTGCGCAACGCTTTTATTCACTAATTAAAAAATAAATCCGCAAAAAATGTAAGTGACGAATGGTAAAACCTTAGTTACCCAGAACAGTATACAAACGTTTTCGTTGAGGGACTACATGCTGTGGCGCAGTAAGACAAGCGTGCTTCCGCTCCGTAGCCTTGGCTGTGCTGCCACAGAAAGTTGTCGCGGGGTATAGTGTCCCTTTAAGCAATGTTAGCCTGTGTTAGACTTTTGTGACGACTGCAGTCAAGCAACGTAAGGCAGTGGATGGACAACAAACAGGGTCCTTTTAAAGTGCTACGCACTTAGGACAATTAATTCTAGTTTTCATACCTAAAGAGGTTATCTTCTCTATCCTAGCAGCATTTCAACGACACATGCTGAAACATGATATGTTGAGAATCGCAACAGAACAAAGTCTGACAAAACAGCTGTACGCATTGCAGAGGAGTGCGACAATAACTGAATTTGAACCTCACGGCCACATAAATATAAAACGTGTAAGTAAATACTTTTCAATATATATTTTGCTTTTTATGCTACCTTTAGAGGGACTGTCTACCGCTCGGAAAAAATTTTCTGATTCTGGCGCCAATGAAAAGATCATTCATCACATTGGCGGCAACAAGCATGCTTTTGTGGCAGAAAAAAGATATCATAATTTTAACATGATGTTGAAAGTCGATAAAAACTGACCACTAGCGTCACCCAACACCGAATGTGGTCAATCTTGACAATCTATTGGTAGGACAAGAAATTGTCGCACGTAGAATCATTTTGCTTAAAAACAAACACGTTAAACTAGAATTTGTATTTTATGTACTTGAGGCAGCTTTGTATTGCGCCAGAGACCAATTATCGCTTTTTTTTCTCACGTGTTTAAACTGGCGGCGTGTTCGATCGCCTGCATGCCTGCCTGCAAACGGCAGAGAAACGCTACCACGACGTCCACGGGAGCTCACAAGAACAAAAAATTGTGCACATGCCTAAAATGACCATAACCAAACTTGCTGAAGCCTGCCAAAACCGCACACTGTTTCAGTTCTTGATTTTCACCTGCACCCACCAGTGTTTTCGGCATTCATCCCACCAATAGAAGAAGACATGAGGCGGACAGAAAAATTCTGTTTTATACTTTTTCCGCAAAATTTTTCGTCTGCTTTGTCTAAAGTTCTGTACGAGTGTTTTGCACAAGTGTAACAAAGTGGTATGATGTTTTTATTTCGTAATTCATTATGAGTATGCATATTGCCACGTTCCCTTTCCCTAGTTTTGTTATCGTTCCAAAGCACTACACAATTCTCAGCGCCAACCGCGCTTGCAGTTTTCGAGAAGCTTCCGGACTGTAGTAGATCATTTTGATTATATCACGTCTACTCTGCAAACTGTACAGATTATTCTGGAACCTACGCCACGCCAGCGATAACGCTAGAACATTCGACGGCAAGAGTATAAATGCTGATGAGCTTCGCTGCTTGTCACTAGTCGATCGACGGCCGACGCTCCGTTCGCCGCTATCAGTCTAAGACTGCTACTGTAATCGGACTTTCCGTTTATCGGGCACAGGTAAATAAACAGTTGAATTCCAACACAAAGTCTCCTGTCTTCGGCCACGTCACGACCCCGTGACAATATATACGTTTTTTTTTTTTTTTTATACACGCTCCACGCTCGCTGCTCCCTGCTGCCGTTGCTTTTGGTTTCCGCCAGTTCGCCCATGCACTCATTAGTGCAGATGTACAGGTGGCACTACGCATTATGATACGCACCGAGAGAGGAAGAAGCATGTGCGAAAGCAGTAAGAGGAGCGAAGGAGAAGAGCAAAGGAATGAGTTATACTACCGCGTACGCGTTGCATGATGTGTCCCATGAGAAAGCGTGGAGTGGCAACGGAGTCGGCGCTCCTTTATTATCTTACTCCGTGAGTTAATTCAAACAAAATTCAATTTTTTGGTTAGCCCTCTATTTTTTCAATGTATTTAAAAGCCTGTTAATTCAACTCCATCATTTCGTTAATTCAAACTTTTTACATTTCCATAACAGAAATTGTCTGCTGCTTTCAACTACTGGTTAAAAAGTAGCGGGCGTATATAATCTTGGCAGTCTAAAAATGAAAAATAGGCACCTCAAGCCTTCAAGAAAATGGCTTTACTAGTAACATATGTTTGAGACAAAGCACACAAACGCATGGTAAACCGTGGTGCTTCTTAACTGGTATAGAGAGCTTTGTGCTGAGGGCATACACCTGTAGCAAAGAAGCAGTTTCTTTAAAAGGTATGATCATCAGTAAATAGTCGATAAACTTGTGGACCTCACACATCTGCTTTCAGTTCATTGCGTGTAGTTAGGCTTTAAAATACTTGAAAAATCTTTAGATGTGATAAAATCAATGCCTAATCATAATTTGTAGTGTCACCACACCAAGCGCCATCTATCTGAGAACTTTTGATAATTCAAACTTCTTGATTCAGAGGTCCCTTCAAGTTTGAATAAATGAGAGTCGACTGTACTTCATTCTTACTGACCGGAAACTAAGTAGAACCAAGTAGATGCCTTCAAAATTTCTTATGTCACGGTGTTTGGTGTGGAAATCTCAAAGTGGCGTCGCCACCCCCATTTCCTTTTCACGCATTTTCTCACAAAGCGTCGTGTCATGGTAGGACTGTGTTTCTGGGATGTAAAATTGTACTTTACTAATACGGGAAAAATCCATTTGCTCTTAGTGTTCATTGAAACGTGGCGCGAGAAAAGAATGTCTGTGCATGTAACACTCACCATTTACAACTATTCTAGACCGATTACTGCAAGTAGAGCTGCAAAGAGCCAACCACACCCTAGCTCTTTTTTTCCGAATCTTCGAAGCACGCACTACGTGTCCAGAAGGCAACGCACACACTTGAACACTGTTGACGCTGTTGCTGATGATAATTACTTACACTCAAACCTCATTATAACTAAGTTGCATCTTACTCAAAAATAGGTTCGTTATATCCAAAAATACATTATAAAGTTATATTCGTAAAACGATATTTAGCGCAAGACCAGTCTTCATTTACTTTGTTATGTTATATCCGGGTTCGTTATATCGGTGTTTCAGAGCATCTCTAAGTGCCTTAACTCTTTCATGCACAGAACTTTATTATTGGAGGGAAACAATATTTTATTGAAAATATAGATTAGCCTTCGTCCAAAAATGACTTTTATAACACGGCAAAAAAATTGGCACATTGGTCTAAAAGAAATGAGGTGGTCACCTGAGGTGACCACCGTGGAGCAAGTGTCTACAGCGTCTATAGATTAGCCTTCGTCCAAAAATGACTTTTATAACACGGCGAAAAAAATGGCACATTGGTCTAAAAGAATGAGGTGGTCACCTGAGGTGACCACCGTGCAGCAAGTGTCTACAGTCACTTTCGGTGGAACGCTGCAAAACAGTCCTTGTTTCCCCTCAGGCACAATGGGACGTTGCACGTCTCGCACATCCATGTCGTTCTCGAAGGCTGCGATTTCGTGCTGCACATACCACACCTGCGCTTCGTGCATCTCTTTGGCTGATGCTTGCTGTGTGTTAGACGTATGGCCGTATCCACATGTGGCTTAGACTTTTTAATCTGCACTGTGTTGTTTGCGCTTGATAATGTGCCCCTCTTACAAACCTGGGCTTCCGCTGTGAGAGATGTCGTCACACTTCTCCGGAAATCTTTATGGTAAAGTGCTCCACTCCTTCAAGTTCACAGTGTATCAAAAAAGCATTCACAACGCAGCAATCCAGTAGGTGGAAAAAGATTCTGTGCCACCACTTCCGTGATTTTCTGTCTATTTCATATTGCCCTTTGCGCCGATCAAATTTGTCTACAAAATTCATATTATGGTTGTAGTCTTGCAAAGCCGCCGGACAGGACACCTTGCTCAATGTCCCATCCTTGTTTTTCCTGTCCACTTCAACTTCATTGGAAGGGTCATGAAAATTTGTTAGCAAATAAACAGTCCTCTTGTCCTTCCATTTTAGACAGCAAAGGCCGTCGTCGCTGACACTCTAGTCTGTGTCGCCTCTTGTCATCGATTTGTCAGCCTGCAAGCATGGCAAGTTCTTTCTACTGGAATTCACTGTCCCACATGCGTAAATGCCATCGTGCAGAAGGTCTTTCAGGAGGTGATAGCTCGTAAAGTAATTATCTAAAAAAACACGATGCTGCTGGCCCACAAGGTCATGACATAACTTCCTCACAACTTGTGCACCTAGCTCCTTCTGAACACCGTTCTCAGATTTACCGGTGTAAATATCAAATTTTAGATTATAGCCACTGCTGGCACAAAGCATCCACACCTTGTAGCCACGCTTCACAGGCTTCTTTGGCATATACTGCTTCAGCGAGCTCCTTCCCTTGAACTTTATCATAGATTCATCGATGGCGAGCAGCTCGGTGGGCAAGTAATTTTCCGCAAATGTTTTCGATAGTTCAGTGAGGAGTGGACGAACTTTGTACAACTTGTCAAAGTTGGGGTGATCCCTCGCTGGCTGCAAGATATTCATTCAGATGCAGGTGTGATAAAAGCCAGCCGAATCTGTTGACAGGCATAACTTTCGAAATGAAAGGATCATGCAAGTCAGGCGCAGTAGACCAGTAATCCCGGTAACTTGGACTTTTTTGATCCCCATCAGGAGATTGAGCCCCAAGAAGGAACGCATTTCTTCCAATGTGGTGGGTGTGTATGGCTTGCCCTGCTGCTGAGCGTAAAGATTTGTTTGAAATGCCAGCAACACCATCAAGGACGGCGTCCAGAATAAGCTGAAGATGTCATAAGGACTTGTTTTCTCTACGTTTTGGATAGAAAGTGGCACCCCACTACATAATAGAAAGTCCAGCGGTGGCGACATTTATAGGAAGGACTCCACACAGGTACCTTCGCAGTCATGACAGGAACGTCATCTTGTTCGCTCTCTGTATCGGAAGACTCGCACACTGCAGAGATGGCTTTTCTTGCCTCAAGTCTCTGTTTGCTCGTTTTGACAGCTTTATCATTTACTTCATACTCAGGGTCACTGTCACTGAAGTCGTCACCTCCTGCGAAACTGTCCGAATCCGATGGTATTTCGACAAAGTCTTCCGCTGAAACACCAAGAACAAATCATATATTGCCGGCCGTCCAGACCCTTCATGCATGGTGGTTACCCTAGGGGACCACAAACTTCAGCAACAAAGCGCTCTCGAATAAATGAGCGCAGCACTTCAATTCTACTTTCCGTAGTATAGGCAACTTCTACAACACTCTATCCTGTGATATTAATCACTACAAAAAGGACTTACCTTTCTTTCTATAAAAAACTCTCGAGTCCATCGCGTATCGCGTGCTCGAGTCGAGACCAGCCGGAAGAAACAAAAATAAGACGTGACATCCGCCGCCGAGGAAAGTAGCGCCATCTCTGTTGTAATATCAAAAGCTTCAACCGGCACGCTGTTTGAACGTTGATATGCGGGACCCGCGTACTTCAAGAGAAAAAATGAAGAAAAGGTGGTTACATGGGGTGACCACCATGCCGGAAAGAGTTAAAATAGATAGACAGACAAAAATGATTGCTTTGAAGTCATTGCGCAATCAACATGTTTTCAAACCTTGTGCAATATTAGTCTTCTGCCACGCATTATTATATGCACTAAAACAACTCCCGACACTCTGCAACATTCGTATTATAAGGTTGTTGTTTTTTTGTCCCTCCGAAACAGTTTTAAGCCCAAGCATGGCTCTGTGGTGGAACACATGCTAGCCAAGCAGAAAACCTGGGTTTGATTCCCCATAGGGCAAAGTCGTTTGTCTATTGGTATCTATCTCTATTTTTCGTTCACAACCAACGAAGCCGAAACCAAAATTTCTACAGACAATATCTTTAAAACTTTAACAGTTAACCTGAAAATACAGCCCAAATGTATGTGCGAAAATGCCATACATGTGTATTAGTAACACTGGATCTATGAAGGTCTATTTTTCATTTACTTAGTTTAAATAGATCATTCTGCATATCCACATTCGTTACATTTAGGTCCGAGCAATAACACACAGCGCAACACAACTTTGTCAATATTTTGCACTGCCTTGTTAAAACATCGTGGATTTTTATGCCACCTAATCAAATCTTCTTAAACCAGAAAGTTTCCTAAATCAGGTTCACTCATATGCACCAGATCATGCCAGCATTATACGTCAAATGACATTTATTTGTGCAAGCATCCTGTAATACTAATTGGCAAAAAGTGTTATGGACCTTTGGTTTTTCAAGCCACCTTTGAATAAAAAAAAAATCCTCAGACTCTCGGATTACATGCTCCTGCTGAGAACTGTCCTAGGATGACATTCCAAGATACGCTTCTTCTAGGCGTCTACACTTTAACCTCGGTGTAAGTATTGGTTATAACGAAATTTTCAAAAAATTCTTTGCGATATATACATTTATAACGAATTTTTTTATATAACATACTTATTTTCCTGTAAGGCGCAACTATGTTAAAAAAGGTTTGAGTGTATGTCACTTCTCTGTCATCTCATTATGAAATGCTCTCATTAACGGGTTTAACTATTTTGAATGACTTCAAATAATGTTCCATAAACTTAAAACAGTTCTTTGTAGGTCAAGGTTGAAAGAGTTAATTAAAGAGATCAACATCCCTACGGGGTGACAATGCTCGTAAAAATATTTTTTTTATTTCTTGATTTATTTAGGTGAAACTTTGTGAGTTTATGTACATCTGTGTGCTGATTTCAAATATGCAATTATTTTTACAATAAGTAGTTTTCAAACTGTAAATTAATTCATGCACTTTTTGGGGAGCAATTTTTTTTCTTAAAGCGAAAGAGTTGCAGAGTACATCGGCATATCACAATAATCTGGAATCAGAACTGTGTCCAGTGCAACAAAAGGTAATGTTTTAAAGCCACCCCAAAAGACAGACAAATATCCTGAATTTTAAAAAACTATACATTACATTAGAAAAATTATTGCATAGACTAAAACCTCAACACAACAATTCGCCTACAACAAATTATGGGTAATAATGAAGTAGGTGACCAATAGCTTTGCCATTGATACAGTTACATGAATAATTATTTAAAACGAATTTTCTGATATAACAAAGTATTTTCGTGGCAGATGTTACTTTGTTAAAATGAGGTCAGAGGCTATATGAAAACAGCACACCAAATGTAGATAAACTATAAGTTTCAACAAAATTAATCAAGAAAATAAAAAAATATTTTAAGGATCATGTCCCTTAACAAGCTTTTAATAGAAGCAAAGTACAAGCTTACTGACCTTGTCTCTTCGCTCAGTAGCTACCCACTTCACCACGGATACAGCGGCGAATCTCCTCGGCTGGGTGATCACAATGTTGCAGCGGGAGCCCATTCCCTCGCGCACCCAATGCTCGAAGATGAACTGGGGCACTTGCGTGGTCTTGCCTGACCCCGTTTCGCCGCAGATCACAACCACTCGCTTGCGACTGACGGCACTCAGTATTTCTTTCCTGCAGTGTGAGAATGCGTGACCAGTGTTTTTTGTGTGCCGATCATTGGGAATTCCCGACATACCGAAAAATTTCAAGCAAGCAAGTCACAAAATGCCTCATCATCATCATCATCGGCCTGTCTACGCCCATTGCAGGGCAAATGCTTCTCCCATAATCCCCCAATCAACACGGTCTTCGGTTTTCCGTTGCCACGTTATACTTGCGAACTTGTTAATTTCATTGGCCATCTTAACTTTCTGTCTCCCCTTCGTGCGTTTGTTTTCTCTGGGAATTCAGGCAGTCACCCTTAATAACAGCGGTTATCCTGCCTACGTGGTATACACACCCGGCACAGGTCCACCTCTTCTTTTTATATTAAACTATTATATCCTTAACCTCGGTTTGTTGCCTGACCCACTCTGCTCTCTTCTTGTCTCTATTACACTTATCATTTTCCTTTCCATCGTTCGCTGCGTCTTTCTCAATTTAGGCTGAGCCCTCTTCGTAAGCCTCCAGATTTTTGCTTCGAAAGTAATGGTACCGGCAAGATGCAATTGTTATATAACTTCTTGTTGAGGGTTAGTGGCAGATTATCATTCATGATTTGAGAATGCTTGCCGAATGTGATGCACCCCATCTTTATTCGTCTAGTTATTTAACTCTCATGCTTAGGCTCCCTGTACTAAGTAGACATATTTCTTTACAACTTCCAGCATCTCTCCACCTATCGCAAAGTGCTATTTTCTGCCCAGACTGCTGCATATTAGTACTTTAATTTAGTGCATATTAATTTTCACACCTATTCTTCTGCTTTCCATGTCCAGTGAGCTGTAATTCGTCCATTGAGCTACTCATAGAAGCGATGTCACCAGCAAATGACAGGTTACTAAGATACTTTCCATTAACGAAATGCGTGCCACCTTTAATGCCGGCTGTCAAGTACTCACGAGGAACGTAGCTTTCAGAGAGAAATCTAGCGCTGTCTTATGTAAGGTATTTCATACCAGAACCAACTTATTCGTAGCTGATGGCTGAGAGTGCGAAGCACGTGCAACGGCTCTCACTTTTTTGTTTGTTCTTGCCTGGGTAACGCAAGTTTTATCGACAACAAATTTGTTTATTTGGTGTGCACACATCGAAGATGTGCCACACGACATGTTACTTAGTGTTGGAGTACGCTTTTTCATACAAGATCATTACTTCTGTGGAATGTGGAGAATTTGCGCAATACCTAAAAGAATGCAATGAAGTTGTTTTGTACATATTTAATGTCAGAATATATAAAACGTTGCTATTTAAAGCTAGAAAATACTTTTTATTTTGTTCAAACGTTTCATAATTCAAACAATAAAGGGGGGCTGAAAAATGTTCGCGGCTGAGATCAATCCTGCGGTATTGATTCCCGTGAATACGCGTACATCATCTTCAAAATATAAACAGCCAATATAGCAAGGAAGGTACTTTAAATCAACTTTGTAGTTTGCTTCAGCCATTGACTCCATCGCGCTACTGACACCCTAAAAGGTGACCCTTAGGGGCTCCATGCTTCCCTCCCGTGATCACGCTGCAGCAAGGTATGACGTCATAGCCGTCATTTTTCTTTGCTCGCGTTTGCTCCAGCAGATTTCTACTCTGCAGCTACTCGAGAGTCCGTGGCCGCGGTGCACGAGTTGATCACTTTCCTGTTCGAGATTGATGTTCTATTTGCTGTTCGAAAAAACTTCACGCGAACCGCTGGAGCATTGCACCCGCAAGGAGGGAATTGTTGAATCCGGTGGCTTGTAGTTTTCGAAACAGAAACTGGTCGTAATAGCGAGCCTGTAATTAGGGAACCTTAACAATGTTTTGAAGTTTTGTCAGCAATTACGCTAGAGCGTCATCAAACCGTTTGAATCACAAATTTAGTGTCACCCCGTGCAGAAAGGCCACTACGACAATAATCTAAAACACGATCTCCCCTGTGGCTAGCCTCATCAACTCATAAGGCCCGCTGGTTTCACTGGCGATCATAGAGCTCGTACGAGCGCGTTAGATTAGGGCTATTACCAATTTAGATCTCAGAGATTGCACGCCAACAAGTTGGGCGCATTGTCAAGGTCATCAGACAGCGCGCCGGCATCACGCACAATGTATCGCGGATTGGTTCATATCTGCTTCGACAGGTGCTGCCACCCTACCACCAGAATTTGCTTCAACGCATTCTACAGCACATGACAGCAAAACAGATCAGTAACACAGTGACTTCAAATGGCCAGAGTATGTCACTCTGGAATGGGCGGTAGAAAACACATTTGGCCGAGTCACAGCGAGCTGCGCCGATCTGCAGCGATTCGCAGCTTTAAAGTGTTGTAATAAATTACACAGTTTTTGCAGAGAGCTCAAATCGATCTCTAAATGACCCTTACAACTTGGTATACTGGTCAAATGTGTTGGTACAAAATCACTTAAACTGTTTTAGGATCCCTTTAATTATACATCGCGCTGTGCAGAAAAGAACATGTTATGACTAACAGGCCACCAGTACAGAACAGTGCGAATTCCGTTAATGCCTGGCTGCTCAGGCTGTTGTGCCGCATTGGATATGCAAGGTGAATGCTACATTAGAGGGCTGTTCCTAAAAGCGGGCATTTGCACTGCGCCAACAGGAACCACTGAAAATTTTCATTTAAAGAGCATTTCCTCACCACAAAAGGAATGTTACAAGATTTTAGAATGCTATTTTAACAAACCATGCCAGCTTCATATTTTACGCAAATTAATCATATAATCAAAGCGTCATATAATGAAAAACTAAGATTATAGGAAGTGCCCCTCAATGTACAGACTGCCTGAATAAGCGCTCGGCACGACCTTGTGCCTCTGCAAGGAAGGTAGATTAAATTATTCTAGCCACTGGCTGCTATTGACCGCATTACTTAGTTGAAGAGGAGCGAGCGAATCTTTATTCTCAACCTTAAAAAAAAAATCGAATCTAGCGTGCAGCTTTCTACTAATACAAAAAAAATTGCCTGCGTGTGAAAACGAAAGCTAAACCGCATTGCACCAGCCTCCCGTTCAGACAAGTCGGACAAGTGCCATCGCTATCATATAGGTGACAGACCATGAGATTGCGTAGTACGTAGAATGCCTTCGTGCTCGACTGCACTTCACGCATTGTAGTTTGTTGATTTGTGAAGTGCAACTGATGGTGTCTCGCTCATAATATGAACATTGACTTCAAGTGAAAGTAATCTTGCACGGTGAAACACTGTGTCATGCCCTTATGCGTGAGCAAGCCTGTGACTGCGAATGCAACAAAGGCAGAAGATCAGCTGTATGTCGACCAAGAAAAGCTGCCACGTACTGAAAACGTGAAAATATCAGCCTTTGGCCAACTGAAGCTGCTCTGTGTGGACAGAGCTTGACTAGGTAACGACTTCGGATGCGTATACATGCAATGGAGGCGTGTAGAAATGAATCATAGAGTTTCATGAAATGATACCTAGAGGGTAATCTGGCGCTATTGTCTATGTGGACGGCTTGAGTGGCGCTTGTACCCCTATGAAAATTATGGGAAGTACATGCTTTGGATGCGCTTCAAATGGATTACGTTTTGGAGATTCGCGACGCCTCTTTCCCGAGTGTACAGCAAAGTCATATGACTTGCATTTAATTGAAACTTGCTTCAATTGTTTGCATGCAAACTTTATTGCAACAGTTTTTGTGAAGAGGCTGCAAAAACGAAACCTGAGGAAATTTAATCATCATGGTTATATGCATTGCTCTGCCACATCGATGCAGATTTGGCAACAAGATTTATTAAATTATTTTTTACAATGCTTGAAAACAAACATGCTTGTTTTTCTCTCAAAAGAATTATCTATTCATGGAAATAACAGTACAGTATCAAATGAGAAACAGCTAACGTTTCGTCTTATCCGATGCTAGGTACATCTGTCTAAGTGGTCTGCCCAAGTGCATCTCCGGTTTGTTGTGAAGTCAAGTCAGCGGAGCGTGACGGTGCGTCTACTTAGCTTCGCCATCGTTTTGCAGTCGACTTAAAACGAGTTTAGGCAAGGCGCGTTCATTAAAAAACGTTAAATCGGCGAAATATCCTGCACTGCCACGAGACGCTTCTATATGCATAGCGGTGAGTGGACTGTCATTAAACTGTCAAATAAGACTCATAAAGCTTCAACGTCACCGAACATTTCAGACATAAGTAGTCTTAAGCCTCTTTGAACAACAATGACACTGCTTCAGCTTTTCACCGCACCCCACTACCTGCGTTGCACGAAGAAGAAAACTCAAACTGTAAAAACAAGTCTGTAGACAGTTTGTTAGCTAACCCTATCAATCCGACGCCTGTACTTCCCATCATTCCCATGGAGGTACATGATCGCAGTGCCAGATTTCTCTCTAGGTATTATTGTATGAAACTCTATGAAGTGCATGAACTTCCAGGAGAACACATTTTCCATTCTAAGAAGACACCTTGTCTCGCACTCTATTTTTCCCATCGTCAGCCTAAGGAACGCAAGTTCATATTTTGCACTCATGAATATTTGGTCCACGTTTGATTCGAGCAAAGGCGTTTTTCTCTTTTCGACAAAAATCTGTAAGTCCTCGTAAGATCTAGGGGCGGTGATAAACTGCGTCGCGTGACCAAGGTTTTCAATACATTCTTTTTAATGAAATTTTTTTTCCAGGACCAAACTAATTCGACATAAAATGCGGGTCGACATGACATCGGGGGCGTATAGTCGAAGATCCACTGCATTTAGGGATTGTTGCTCTGAAATGTTGTTGGCCAGTGTGCTGGCCAACAACATGCACAACAGTGTGCTGGCCAACAACAAACTCCAGGTGGTCGAAATTTCCGGAGCCCTCCACTACGGCATTTCTCATAATCATATGGTGGTTTTGGAACACGGGCTTTGAAAACCCTAAAAAGAGTAGTACTGTAATGCCTGAAAATGCATTGCATATATTTTGAATGCCGCTACACTAAAGCTACGCTTTCAGTATTGAAGGGGAGG